CCCCCTACACGCTGATCACACATATTTAAAATTAGCAATTATAATCGGTAAGAGATCTATCTTCCTTCCTTCCTTCCTTGTTTTGTAGGGGTAAAATCGTCACGTTCAACGAACGAGCCAACCCGAAGTTCAAAGGTTTTGGCTGTAACTTTGACTAAGTTATTTGCGCCTGATAAAATGGCCTGTCATTGCTCATCACTAAAGACCCTGGAAAAGGAACTCTTGTAGTGTAGATGCAATCAAAGGAGGCAAATCCAAATACTGTCCCGACTGACGACGAGGTCGTCTACTGGCCAGCCAATGGGCGACCCGGTCGCCTATGTATTACCGGCCAGAAGGATCATAGGTTATATGTATATTCACCATCAAGTGCCCTGCCGAATGGCGTGAGAGATCATGGCTCTCCATAATCTGCGATCTTCAACTGCATCTGTTAGTGGTTGTACTAACAATTTTCCATGCCATGACAAAACGCTGTCAAGAATCTTCTCGCGTTGTCTTCTTCTGTCTCTTTCTCGCATTGTCTACTTTTGTCTCTTTCTCGCATTGTCTTCTTCTGTCTCTTTCTCGCATTGTCTTCTTCTGTCTCTTTCTCGCATTGTCTACTTCTGTCTCTTTCTCGCATTGTCTACTTCTGTCTCTTTCTCGCATTGTCTACTTCTGTCTCTTTCTCGCATTGTCTACTTCTGTCTCTTTCTCGCATTGTCTTCTTCTGTCTCTTTATCACATTGTCTACTTCTGTCTCTTTCTCGCATTGTCTTCTTCTGTCTCTTTATCACATTGTCTTCTTCTGTCTCTTTCTCGCATTGTCTACTTCTGTCTCTTTCTCGCATTGTCTACTTCTGTCTCTTTCTCGCATTGTCTACTTCTGTCTCTTTCTCGCATTGTCTTCTTCTGTCTCTTTATCACATTGTCTTCTTCTGTCTCTTTCTCACATTGTCTTCTTCTGTCTCTTTATCACATTGTCTTCTTCTGTCTCTTTATCACATTGTCTTCTTCTGTCTCTTTATCACATTGTCTTCTTCTGTCTCTTTATCACATTGTCTTCTTCTGTCTCTTTATCACATTGTCTTCTTCTGTCTCTTTATCACATTGTCTTCTTCTGTCTCTTTATCACATTGTCTTCTTCTGTCTCTTTATCACATTGTCTTCTTCTGTCTCTTTATCACATTGTCTTTTTCTGTCTCTTTATCACATTGTCTTCTTCTGTCTCTTTATCACATTGTCTTCTTCTGTCTCTTTATCACATTGTCTTCTTCTGTCTCTTTATCACATTGTCTTCTTCTGTCTCTTTCTCGCACTGTCTTCTTCTGACTCTTTCTTGCGTTGTCTTCTGTCTTTTTTTCCACAGATCTTTACAGTGACCACAATATGCTCCAGATTTCTTTTTTTCCATAATGTTCCAGAAAATGACAACTGTCCTTTTATTTGTCCCTCACCAGTTCTCCCGTCTTGTGTACTTTCATTTTCAAGGAGTAATTATATCCTGTGCCCATTTTCGTGTTGGTCTGCCTCTGCCCCTCTTTCCTGGCACCATGCCTTCTGCTATTATTTTTCCCCCCAATCCATCATGGCGCTTGAAATGACCAAAATATTTCAGCTTACGAGACAGGATAATGTTTTTTTTAACCAATCTTCCTTGATGTTCAGATCTTTTAAAATGTCGGCATCTCATCTCTTCTGTGTTCCTTGTTTTCTGAGAATCTTTCTATAGCATGTCAGCTCAAAAACCCTTTTCTTCTTTCTCAGGGACTGGCAGATTGTCCACGACTCACAAGCGTATGCTGTTTCAGAAAGGATGCATGCTCTCAAAAATTTTAAGTTAGATTTCCTTGCTGCTGCTCTATTTAGCATGCACAAATTCTTTATCCAAAGTCCAGTGACATGGATTTTTTTGCATAAAAAATTCTTCCTTTTGTAAAATGTAGTTTTGGCCTGTCTTTTTCAGTTCTTTATTTCCGTTAAACATCTTCTGCTAGACGTTACCCTGTGCCTAGTGTCACATATCACTCCTGTCGCGTGCCTAATGTAAGGATTTCTCCTTCAGAACCAGCAGCACTCAGAGATAATTTTGTTGAGTCGTTTGGCTCGTATTGGTCTAAGGGATTCCCCGTGGCCAATATACGATCAACTTATCTCTGGAGTAGGGCAACTCAAGTATTGGCACTACAAAATATATCAGTATATAAATACAATATTTCTAGGCACACTTGGCTGGACACCCCCACTACTTACTAAAGAAAGCCCCCAGGTTATGATAATTCATTATCATAACCATGTTAACACATATAATGAAGATACATACACATACAACTGCTAAACACTTAAGAAGGTGACATAGAGAAACCTAAGTCAGCCATGAAAAATGAATGCATGTATTTAGTATAATATCTGTACAAAAACAATTGAAGTGAATTCCAGCTATCAGTGAAAGAATTTCAGCACTAATGTCTAGATCCTAAGGAAACTAGGCAGACAGCCGGTCCTGGAGGTGACATCTTCTCATCATTGGACACAGGGAGCTGTGAGGAACACAACATCATGTGAAGCATTAGACTTATCTTCTCTTTTCTCTGTCTATGATGCCTCCCTCAGCTCCGGATGATTTGACTGTCTTTGACTCTGGGAATTCTGCTCCACTGGATCAAGTAGCAAGAGTACTTCACTATACAGCAACTGTATCGTTATCTAGCAAGTCTCTATCACCAGTAAGGACACACAATGTCTTTGAGCCACATTAAGCTCTGGCACTGGTAGCTGTTTGAGGCACAATCTCCCCCATTTTCGGAGATGTCAGGAACCTTCACAGGTGTTAGCTGGTGGGTAACAAGTTGGTTCTGGTGGTTGGATTGGTGGTTGGATTGGTGGGTGGATGTTGTTGAGACTGTGAATCTTCTGCCAGCTCTTCAGAAAATATACATCCCAAGCATATGTAAAACTGAGCCCTTTCCAGATTGCCTTGAAAATTTAAAGTATACAGGCACAGATTAACACATCTGGAGGCTTGAGAAGCTGGCAAGGAGAATGGCGTCAGACATTTCAGGCGTTGGTACAAAAGAAGTTCTTTGTATACTGGGGCAAGGAGTAAATCGGTTTCCAAGAAACCTCAATTAACTCCTTAAATATATCCCCAAGAGATATACATTTAAAAGTGGAGTTTAGTTAAAGTACCCAGAAAAGGCAGACATAATAATGTTGTCCAATACAGGCCTATATATATAGATATAAGGGACTATATATTTCTGGGCGAGTCCAAGTTTGAATTTTGTGCAGATTACAGGTAAGACAGGTTATCAGCCTTACAAACCGATGTGTAATGACTATCATTTCACGACACCTAGATATTTAAATATCTTTACTTCTTCTTCTTCTTCTTCTTCTCTTCCACCTTGTACCTCATCGAAGTGTCGGGGGGAGATGTAATGTTCGTTGATGAGCTCTGTCAAGAGCACTATTAAGACTGATGTTCATTTCTGTAAGGCTGTTCTTAATGCCATCACTCCATCTTTTCCGAGGTCTTCCACTCGCTTTATACCCGTTGTAACGTTTTAGTGTGGCTCGCAGTGGCATATAGTACCAGGGCATTCTTGTTAGGTGTCCAAACCATTTCATTTGTTGTTCTTTGATGACCTGTAAGACTGGCTTTATTCCTAGCATTCGTCTGATTTCATGATTTTGTATTCTGTCTTTCCTTGAAACTCCTGCAGCTCTTCTAAGGCATTTCATCTCTGTTGTCACAATTTTACGTTCATTGGAGGATGTAAATGTCCACGTTTGGCACTGATAGCATAGTATTGGCCAAAAAATAGTTCTGATAAGATTCACTTTAGTACTCTGAGGTATCTGCTTGTGTGTCAACAGGGGAGATAGTTGACCCATTACTTGATTAGCTTTGGCACATCTGGAGCTAATTTCTATGTCCAGTTTTCCGTCTGAAGTAAAAATTGCTCCCAAATACTTAAATTCCTCTGTTTGTCTCAGGGTGTTGTTTTTTAATTTAATTTCTAAATTGTCTTTATGTCTTCCTATCATCATTGTCTCTGTCTTCGTAGTGTTTATTTTCATATTATATTCCTCCCCTTGTGTACTAATTTGATTTAGGTTGTTCTGTAGGCATTCCATATTTTCTGCTATGAGTACCTGGTCGTCGGCGAAAAGTAATTCTGTTATATCTTCTCCCTGATTAAAGTCTGTTTCGCTACATATGGCGTCCATGTATGTTATGAAAAGAAGCGGCGATAGTACACAGCCCTGACGCACACCAGAGTTCACTATAAAAGTTCTAGACAACCCTGCCTTTGATCTTATGCAGCATTCACTACGTGTGTACAGGCTTTTGCAAATATTAAATATTTTTACTTGTCCTAAATATCTTATTTGTATTTAAAAATTTTAGCACAGTTTTTTTATATATTTTTTTAACCATTACTTTGGTCTTCTTGTTATTCAAGCTTATCATCATCATTATCATCATCATCATCATCATCATCATTATCATCATCATCATTATCATTATTATCATCATCATTATCATCATCATCATTATCATCATCATCATGATCATCATCACCATTATCATCATCATTATCATCATAATTATCATCATCATCTTTATCATCATCATTATCATCATCACCATCATCAATATGAACACTACCGTCATCATCAAGACTGTATGTGTATAACATTAAAGTAAAGGACCTTTTTTCACGCCTTTTGACGTAATAGGGCACATAGGGCTAGACCAATCACCACTTGGTGGGTGATGTAGTCAACATCACGCCGGTCTCCTTTTTTTTCCAGGTCCACCTGGTACCTATTCAAGGCTGGGTCGATCTGAAAGCCACTATCGTTTTTTGAAAACAAATTCTGGCACCGCTGGAACCCGAACCAGCGACCTTGCGATCTGCATGCGAGCGTCTATCCACTACACCGCGGCGGGCAGACAGACATATATACCGACATACAGACAGACACTCAGACAGATTGTCACCACTTACCGCAGTCTGAGTCTTTCTCTTTTCTTCTTGACTGAAAAAGGGAAAAACAAAATCTCAGCTATAGAAATTATTTCTTTCCTCTCTTGGTTAATTATCTATGTCATCGTCATCATCATCATCATCAATAATATACACTATCATCATCAGTGGCATCATGTGCCAAACCTATACGGATGGGTAGTAATAACTCACCCCGTTGGTAGACACCAACAATATACATGCATATATACATACAAAGACGCACGCACGCACGCGCATGCATGCATACATACATAATTACATACATACATAATTACATACATACATAATTACATACATACATAATTACATACATACATAATTACATACATACATAATTACATACATACATAATTACACACACACGCACGCACACACGCACACACACATATACACAGACAGACAGACAGACAGACAGACAGACAGACAGACAGACAGACAGACAGACAGACAGACAGACAGACAGACAGACAGACAGACAGACAGACAGACAGACAGACAGACAGACAGACAGACAGACAGACAGACAGACAGACAGACAGACAGACAGACAGACAGACAGGCAGGCAGGCAGGCAGGCAGGCAGGCAGGCATGCATACATACATACATACATACATACATACATACATACATACATACATACATACATACATACATACATACATACATACATACATACATACATACATAATTACGCACGCACGCACGCACACACACATACATACAGGCAGGCAGGCAGACAGACAATCATACATAATTACCTACCTACCTATCTACGCGTGCGTGCGTGTGTGTGTGTGCGTGCATGTGTGTGTGTGTATGCGTGTGTGTGTGCGCATGCGCGCGTGCGTGTATGTATATATATATATATATATATATATATATATATATATATATATATATATATATATATATATATATATATAAAGAGAGAGAGGGAGGGAGGGAGAGAGAGTTAAAAAATATAGTTTGTTAATATGTGTTGAGTATTCTCATGCGTAACTATATTGCGTACCCACCTAAGAGATAAACTGGGAGAGATTTAAAGAGACAGAGGGAGTGAGCGAGGAGAGACTGAAAGAGACAGAGGGAGTGAGCGAGGAGAGACTGAAAGAGACAGAGGAAGTAAGCGAGGAGAGACTGAAAGAGACAGAGGGAATGAGCACGGAGAGACACATAAGAAAGAAGAGTTAGAAAGGGAGCACGTGTACCGCGTCATGTCCAACCTTGTACGTGCACACGTGACAAAGCAGGGAATTGCAGAAACGGAGTGAGACAGAGAGACAGAGATATAAAAGGAACGAAAGACAAAGGACATAATTTTAGCACGAAATTTTTTGTTATTTGAAGCCCCAATCTGGCTTTTTCCAGGATCCGCAATATAGGCAGGCCTTAAATATGGCCAATTGTCTGAACGCGGTTTCTGGGACCTCTCCACGGCGATCCTCATCCACATGGTGGCACTTTGTGTCATCGGGTGTTAATCGCTTATGTGATGTCCTGGTGGGGTAGAAATTCCGTCAGTCAGTCAAAAGACATAATGATTCGTCGTTCCTTTTGTGGGACGCAATTTTTTCAAGCCCGACAATTTAGCCTGACGGTTGGACGCGGTTTCCGGGACCTCTCTACGGGTGAAACTCATCCGCATGGTGGCACTTTGTGTCACCGGGTGTTTGTCGCTCTGTGTAATGTCCTGGTGGGGTAAAAATTTACGTACTTACAAAAAGCCAAAAAAAATCACGTGTATGTAATTAGGCTTTATTTCTATTTCCTTGTACATACATCCTCGTGTGTGCTTGAGCGCTTGTGTGTGCTAGCACGTGTGCTCCGGCGTCCCTGGACAAGATGAAAGGGGTGTGCCTGGCACTGACCTACATACCCAGGCAAGCGCAGTCATCGATTTATCGATATTATTGTCGCTCCACTGTGGCGGTATCGATCCCCTGATAAATGTTTGCAGAAAATACTGATGCTTGCAGTCATAATTAATTATCGTACACGACCGGTCTGAAACCCAACCTGGCCCAAACAACGGGCATTTCCTGTGTAATGATTGTTCAAGGAAAACTAGAAGGCTAAAGTCGAAGAGTGGACGAACAACCCGGTCAGTCCACGGGAGTCTACAGCGGGTGGACCTGAAGAACGAACAACCTGAATGAACTTCATTTTCGAAGGTCACAAATTAGGCACGAAGGCCCGTCTTACGTTCGGCCCTTCCAAACACCCATCTTTTACACAGCTGTTGTATTTCATCAACAAAGCATGTTATGTTCAAGTAATAATATGCATTTTATGAATATCAAGTCAAAAACAATAGCATAGGTGGTAAAATTAATGCGCACCCTCGCGCGAGCATAAACACACACCCACATACTCACGCAAACCTATTCACTCACTTACACACACACACACACACATAGGGACCCAATATACACATACACAGACACACATCCACAGACACACACACACACGCGCGCGCGCGCAACATCCCAGACACACACAGACACACAGCTATACAGACACACACACACAAACACACACATACACACACTAGGACGCACAAAAAGGACACCTACAAACACATTCACAGACGCACACAGACATAAATGCACACATACACACACGGAGCACAGGCACACACACAGACACACACATACGCGTAGGCAGAGACACACAAAGACATACACACACAGAGAGACACACACAGCCACATACGCAACAATCATACATAGACACAGACACGCACACAGTCACACACGCAGACATACATACATAAGAAGAATAAACAGTAGGTAAGAAAAAAAAGAAAGAAAACGAAATTAGAAGAAATGAAAAATCAAATAAAATATTAACACAAAATAATATCGATACAACTAGTAAGTTCCTGCATCGGAACCCGCAGGGATAAAGACATCAAGGGAGACATATCACACACAACATAGTGGCCGGAGTGATTAACATGGGAAGGACGTTGGGTTAGAGGCAAAGGAGAGGGTAACTTGAAGCTGGTTGATTGATAGTGTATGTTTTATTTGAGAATAAGTGGCTGGAGTCAAACACGAAAAATCAAAAGAAGAAGGAGGAGGGGAGGAGGAGGACACGAATGAGAGGTAGCAGCGGTAGGCACAGGTAGTAGCAACAGCAGCTGTGATAGAAGAAGAAGAAGAAGAAGAAGAAGAAGAAGAAGAAGAAGAAGAAGAAGAAGAAGAAGAAGAAGAAGAAGAAGAAGAAGAAGAAGAAGAAGAAGAAGAAGAAAGAAAAAGAAAGAAAGAAAGAAAGAAAGAAAGAAAGAAAGAAAGAAAGAAAGAAAGAAAGAAAGAAAGAAAGAAAGAAAGAAAGAAAGAAAGAAAGAAAGAAAGAAAGAAAGAAAGAAAGAAAGAAAGAAAGAAAGAAAGAAAGAAAGAAAGAAAGAAAGAAAGAAGGTAGAAAGAAAGAAAGAAAGAAAGAAAGAAAGAAAGAAAGAAAGAAAGAAAGAAAGAAAGAAAGAAAGAAAGAAAGAAAGAAAGAAAGAAAGAAAGAAAGAAAGAAAGAAAGAAAGAAAGAAAGAAAGAAAGAAAGAAAGAAAGGAAAATTAAAGGGTAAGGGAATAATGTGCGGGGGAAAGCAGGGGAGGAAAGGAGGATGGTGGTTGTGGAGGAGAAAATGATTGCGAGGCAGAGCACCAACTGTTGATCGTGTCGCTTTATCTAAATTCACCATACCCAGCTAATTACATATCTCCACAGGTTCTAGGGTTGTACTTTGCGAGACGATACTCTTGACGGATCTGCACAGAGAGACGGAGCCATCTGGGATAAAAACTATATCCTTTTTTTTTTGTGTCTTTAAATATATATATATATACATTCAAAAGTTAATTAAGTTAGTTGCGTATTCTTTACAGGACATTGCAGAACCAACACCAACATTTTTGGGCTGTTGTGTTTTTTCTGTAGTTTGCCACTGCTTTCCGGACGGTCGGCTTCTCGATATCACGGTCGAAACCAACGCAAGGCTGGGATCGCAACCCGGCACTTCGGCATTACGAAGCGCGTTCGCAACGCCTAAGCCAGAGACATCTACACAACTCAGAGAAAATGCATACAATTAGACTGCTACTGATAATATCACCAAACTGAAACTGCACTGACTGCTAAAGATGCGGATGCAGCGCTTATGGGAACGTCCCAAATGCTATGATGTCAGTGCTTAACTCAGCTCATGTATAAAATACAATGGTGAGAGGTGCAGACTTCCGTGGATTGTTATCTGTCATCATTATTCCTAACGATATTAACGTTAATGGGTTCCACGCTACAGGCAGATTCAAGGAGGACTTTGGCATTTCTCTACGTTACGTTACTGGGTGCTTTATTGCATGTCCGCACGCAAGAGGGAAGTCCCGTACTTTGCGTTGATTCTACCAGATTGAGAAAACAAATTGGCTCGGTGCTGGAATCTGTGCAGCTTCTGTGTTGTGGGGGAAGGGATATGGCGTGGAGTTTGTGATTAATGCCCCGATGCACGAAAAGAAAGTATGCTGAAAGAGGACCATCTAACAAAGACAGGTCCCCCTGTGGGTTCCGGGGCCCTATTATAGGGGAAAACAAGAATAGACCCACTGCCAAGCCCAAAAGCATGTCGTAGGAGCCGATTAATTGGGAGCCTCCTTCGGAGTCGGAGTGCATCTGCCTGAGAGGCAAGGAACCAGTGGTCTGCATACAAATGAGTCACATCAGTGAAACGGATGCACACGTAACAGTAAGGTTCTGGAACAGGACTGCAGTCCACAAGTGGATGAACAACCAGAACTTTCCGCCAGAGTTTACAGCTGGTGAACACGAAGAAGACAAAAGACACGGAGAAGGAGAGGAGGAAAAAGATTTTTACAAAAATAAAAGAACAGTCACAGAGATGTTAAAGTTCACAAATGTAAGGAAATTGTCAGATATATTTGATAAACGTTACAAACGTAAGAAAGTGTCAAGAGATATTTCTTAAACGTTACAAATCCCCGGCTCGCTAGCGTTGTTGGTTAAACCTGACCTCGCGGTGACCCAGTGACGAATTTCTTGTGGTCCGGGTTCACGCCCGGGGGTAGGCAGAAAAGCCACATTTCTCCCAGATTTACAGAACCTATCATGGAATCAAGGCCAAAGGGCATCCATAGTACCAAGCCAAAGGGTTAACAACTTATGGTTTCTGGAATTTAAAAAAAGTTACAAATGTGCAAGAACGGTCAGAGATAGTTCATATGTTAGGGAACAGTCACATATATATAATTTTTTTTTTTTTTACATAGACTTGACGACTGTCAGAAAACAACTACTAAGAAATCTTGCGGGCTGATAGATGAGGCTCCCTTAAACTCTGTACAAGCAGGGCCTGACTGACCGACTGACTGGCTGAATGACTGACTGACTGCCTAACTGACTAACTCACTGACTGGCTGCCTGCCTGACTGACTGATTGACTGACTAACTGATTGACTGACTAACTGACTGACTGACTGACTGGCTGCCTGACTGACTGACTGACTGACCGACCGACTGACTAACTGGCTGAATGACTGACTGACTGCCTAACTGACTGACTAACTCACGGACTGGCTGCCTGCCTGACTGACTGACTGATTGACTGACTAACTGATTGACTGACTAACTGATTGACTGACTAACTGATTGACTGACTAACTGATTGACTGACTAACTGATTGACTGACTGGCTGCCTGACTGACTGACAGACCGACTGACTGACTGGCTGGCTGGCTGCCTGACTGACTGATTGACTAACTAATTAACTGATGCCTGTTGCCTGACTGACTGATTGACTGACTAACTGAATGATTGACTGGCTGCCTGCCTGACTGACTGACTAAATGACTGACTGACTGGCTGGCTGGCTGCCTGACCGACTGACTGACTAACTGACTGACTGATGCCTGACTGACTGACGTTCAACCCCACCAGGACCACACGATGACCAAAAAACACAAAGTGACACAAAGTGCCACCATTCGGATTATAATTCTTCTTTTTCTCTCCCACCTTGTACCCCAGCGAAGTGTCGGGGGTAGATGTAACATTCGTTGATGAGCTCTGTCAAGAGCACCATTAAGACTGATGTTCATTTCTGTAAGGCAGTTCTTAATGCCATCACTCCATATTTTCCAAGGTCTTCCGCTCGCTCTGTACCCGTTGTAACGTTTCAGTGTGGCTCGCTGTGGCAGATAGCACAAGGCATTCTTGTTAGGTGCCCAAACCACTTCATTTGTTGTTCTTTGATGACATGTAAGACTGGCTTTATTCCTAGCATTTGTGTGATTTCGTATTCTGTCTTTTCTGGAATTCCTTGATGGGAATTACCCGGGTAAAAGTCCCATACCTCGTGCAACCGTTAGGTTATTTTAGGACCCCTGAATGACAGCTAGGTTGGGACTTTAAAATAACAAAAAATTTGCAGGCAAACGTTCCAATGGCGACCCTAGGGGACGTAATCTTTTGCAAGCTATCGTTACTGTAAACACCAATACTAGGAGCGTTATCCATTGTTCGTGTATGTTCACATAAAAATCTTCTTCTTCTTCTTCGATCCTTCTGTCAGAAAACTTATATCAGGAGGCCGGTAGCCTTTATGAAAGCTATCGTGCAATCCATATCCTCTCGTGTACCATACAGTTTTGTCTTCAGTGTGGTTGGAACAGGCCAGATTGCGTCTCTGTTGACAGCATACAGTTGACAGTGTTCGAACACATGCTCAGCATTTTCGAGTGCCACGCTGCAGGGACACGTCTCCGTATTTCCTACACCAAAAAATTTGAACATATGTTGACGAAATCTGTTGTGCCCTGTCCTTAGTCTGAATATAATACACTGTCCCTCTCTAGAGAGGCGATGAAGTGAGTGAAGTGAGACCGGTATTCGGAAAAGTGCCAAAAAAAAAAGAAAAGGGTTTTCTGGGGGGGGGGGCGGAATCCTGGGGGCCCTCAAGGGCTCTAAGCCCCCAGCTGCCTTCGCCACTGAATGGAGCCCACATTGCTACAATAAGAGTTAACGCAATATTGACAACACTCACAACCACATACCTCATCGTCGTCTGAAATTTCGTTGACTTTCTGCTGGGAGTCCCGACTCATCCAGGAAAACAACGAGGGATCGAGCAGAGACGATTCAGACTTGGCCTCCAGTCCAGACTGCCTTGACCCCGACGCCATGGATTATAAAATGTAAACACTTGTCGCTTAAACGAATCAAACTTGTATAATCGCTTAGTGCTTAATTAGGATCCAGCTTTTTGTAGGGTCACGTGTTTACTGTCCTGTTCATGATGAATGTGTGAAGGTTTGGCCAAGCATCAAGTGGTTGCATCAGAATTGAGGCTTATCCTGTCTGTTTAGTCTGCATTGTTTTCTGTTTTGAGAGAAAAAAAAAAAGAAATTACTAAGGTCTTATAACGAACTAGAGACAATAAGTAAACTCCCCGTGTGGGTTCTGGGGCCCTA